GATGTAATTGATTCAGGGAACATGTTATCGAACTAGTCGGGTGAGCTATAATGTGATGTAATTGATCCAGGGAACATGTTATCGAACTGGTCAGGTGAGCTATAATGTGATGTAATTGATTTACATTATAGCTCACCTGACCAGTTCGATAACATGTTCCCTGGATCAATTACATCACATTATAGCTCACCTGACCAGTTCGATAACATGTTCCCTGGTTTTCTTTCATCTAAATTTTTTAACATTTGTTTTAGGTATATACTATATATCATGTTGTAAAAACAACAACAATACAATACAATTAACACCTGCATTTGGCACCTCATTATGTGAAAGCAGGACTAGTTTCCCAGAAACAAGAGTTCAAAAATAACGTTTTAGTTGGAAAGTGAACTAAAAAAAAGCCTCTCCCTTTAAGTCTACATGTATGATACTTGTGCCCCGATCCCCATGCAAGTTCATGGCTATGCTGCTGCCTATAAACTGTAAAAGTACTCACTGTCATTTACTTTTCTTCTTTTTTAGAAAAATGTAAAAAGATTAGTTCGAGATGCCATTGAAAACTAAGTAAATAATCAAACAGTGCATATGACACTAAAAAAATATCTGATTTACTGTAGCAAAAGATCGTAATTCAAAACATACTAATTTTCAGAACATTGCAACATGAAACCCGTTAAACGACGGTAACTATTTACAAAAGTATCTTGTAAAAAATTGTGGCTTCAAAAATTTGATTTACAAATTGGCAGCCCTTGTAAATGTCATGGTAATTTTTTAATGTGGTCAGTATTTGAAGGTGTATGTTAAAATGTTGCTCGATCTTATTTCCAAAATATTCCACTTCTCTAAAGTAAACAAAATGTAAATGACTAGGGTATGTAATCAAAGTGTAGCGATTCCTAATAACTTGTGTAAATGAAAGCTAAACACACTAACTTAAATAACTGAACTTCAACAGAACAACAATACTTCATTTTATATTTTCATTTTCTAGACTTACATTACTGCTTTGAGGTTGGCAGACGGTAAGGTGCACAGAATGTTTGCAGGACCTGGAAAATGACAAAATTTAACTATAATGAAATGTTTAAAATTCTCCTATTGTCACAAGATCATTAACTATATTTTGTTAAAAACCTGAATCAATTACATGACATTATAGCTCACCTGACCAGTTCGATAACATGTTCCCTGGATCAATTACATGACATTATAGCTCACCTGACCAGTTCGATAACATGTTCCCTGGATCAATTACGTGCATTTATAATTTGTTAATTATTTAATTGCAAACTGGTTCTTCCCACCTGAAGCTCTTTCCTCAGACCTTCTATATGACCCATCAAGTCAGTTATAACTTCCACCAAAAAACAAGATAGGTTTTCAATCATATCAAGATGGATAGTTAGTCCTAACTCCCACCCAAAAAAACAAGGTGGGTAGTCAATCCTAACTCCCACCCAAGAAACAAGGTGGTAGTTGGTACTGATTCCCACCCAAGAAACAAGGTGGGTAGTTGGTCCTGACTCCCACCCAAGAAACAAGGTGGGTAGTTGGTATTGACTCCCACCCAAGAAACAAGGTGGGTAGTTGGTACTGATTCCCACCCAAGAAACAAGGTGGGTAGTTGGTCCTAACTTCCACCCAAAAAAAAGGGGGATAGTTGGTTGTAACTCCCACACACAAAACAAGGTGGGTAGTTGTCCTAACTCCCACCCAAGAAACAAAGTGGATAGTCAAACATAACTTTAAACCAGAAAACAAGGTGGGCAGTCCAACATACTCCTGCCCAGAAAACCAAGTACTGTAGTATTGTTTCTTAATTTACTTACTGAGTTTCTCTTGAAGATAGTAGAAGGTTTTTATGTGGTTCACTACAAGTATGTAGGGGGAGCTAGTGTATTAATAATAGTAATATTAGGTAATTTTATTTTATACATTATGTATGTGATAACATCATGTAAGTAGTGTATTAATAATTGTAATATTAGGTAATTTTATTTTATACATTATGTATGTGATAACATCATGTAAGTAGTGTATTAATAATTGTAATATTAGGTAATTTTATTTTATACATTATGTATGTGATGATCTCATGTA